GAGGGGGTCGGGCGGATGCCGGCCGGGGGTGCGGGAGAGTGGGATGCGATGAGCCTCCTTGGGTGCCACTGGCTTTCGGAGGGGCTGCTCAGGGACCGGGCGCTGGGTGGGGATGGGTGTTCAAATGGAGGGATTGAAGTTCACCCACTAATAAATGTAGTCGGGGAGCGAGGAGGGGCTGGGCGGGGGCCATCAGCAGCATCCAGGGAAGACGACAAGGGTTTGCAGGGGGACAAACAAAGATTCCCCTGAGCAACAGCTGAATGAGAGCCTCCAGCCCTGGCCTGAAGCGAATGCTGCGGGGACTGAGAGAGAATTATTTGCTGAGGTTTTCCATCAAATCAATGACATCATTCTGTGCTGGAGTTCACCCATTTACACGCTCTCAGCCCCCCTGGCAGCTGTGCTTAAATAGTGACATTCAGGCCTGAATTTGCCCATTCAGGAGCAAAGGTTTGACCCGTCAGAGGAAACTGCTGAACGAAGCTTTTGAGGGGAAAGCGGGGACTTGTGTGTGCTTCGAGGCCGCGTTCCTCCCTGCGCTGGGGACCTGGCTGTCCCTGCGAGCCCCGGTCGCTCGGGGGCCTTGGGGAGGGCCGGAGGCCCCGGGGTGCTCCCAGCCTAGGGACAGGGGAAGCAGAGCAGTCTGGGGACCTGCCGGGATCCCAAGCGGGCCATTTGATTCCTTTTCCCAACATCCAATTTAGTGTTGTCCGATTTTTCTCTCCCCTTTGTAGCAGTGTTTCAGAAAACCCCATGTTTGCAACCATGGTGATAAGTTCCTTTGTCACTGAGTCTGCAGTGGAAAAGAACAAGCAAAAATACACCCAGATCACCATTTTCCTAAGGCTGGAAATGCAGGGAGTAGCCTATACTGTACAGACACAATTCCTCACTAATTCACACCTCATTTTTGGCCGTTATTTCCCCCCAGATTTTAACAACTGATGCCAAAAGTGATTGTCCTTGTCTTATCTTTTTAAACAAACAGACAAATTAAAAAAACTACCCATGTACACAGCGTTGCTCTGCTACAGCAGTCCTTCCCCCGGTTTGGCAAAGCAGGGTTTGTGTGTGCTGGTTGCACGTTAACGTCTGTGCCGTCACATCTTCCACACTTGCAGCTTCCTGAATTTCAGAAAGCACCATCTCCTGTGCACCCTGCCCCCCCAGAGGAATCCAGCCTGGGACTGTGCCTATAGCTGGAGTCCAAAATTAGGGAAAATAGCAACATAAATCAAAGTATAAAATTATTCCTTTGTTTTTGTTTCATTGTCTACATCCTATTCCCTGAGGTCAGGGAAGTTTCAGCCTCCTCCTGTTTGTATCTCGGGTATTTGCGGTTGGAGAAAGACTAACCTCCCCAAAAAAGCGTGTAACTTTGTGCAGGAAGATGTGGTTGATGCAAGGCTGTCAAATCCATCACGTGTCCCTCTTGCGCTCTGCTGGCGGGAGAAGGATCTGCGGTGAAGTGTTACCTGTGGCTGTCACCGCTGTCGTGAGGTGGGTGATTTTGGTGCTGGGGTCTGCTGCGCTGTCGCTGCCCCGTCCCGGCTGCAGCTCCTCTGCCAATGTCAGCAGACGCCTTCACAACAGCGGAGCCACCGACGACGCTGCGAAGCAGCCGCACAGGATGCAAAGACACAAAGGATCCTTTTGGCTAGAAACTTCTCTGGAAAGTCCAAAAATAATTTGGGCTGAGCTACCAACCACCATCAGGAAGTGTCTTTGCTTCAAGACTGAACGTTTCTTCAGCAGCAGGCCAGGAGCGGGTCCCAGGGCCATCTGCAGACGCTCCGACAAGCATAGCTTGAGCCCTCCAGCTCACTGCACTCAGCTGCCGCACTGTCGTACTTCTCTTAGGGCCTGTTTGTGTCTGTGACCCCCTAAAGAAGGGCAGTTATTTTGAGTCCTGTCTTTTTCCCCACGTTTGTTTTCTGACTCTACAGATTTTTCTCCCGTATAATGAAAAAATTACTTTGAACAGTGAGAAGCCTGTCTGACAGCCTCTGTGCTCCGAGGAGCTGTGCTGATGCACGCATGGCACTGGGGATATCTACTTCTCTGAAAACGTTCCTGTGGCGGTGGTGAATGCTGCATTTGAAGCTGCATGTTTTCCTGCAGGGGAAATGTGTCTGTGTCCCTTCCTGTACGTAGCAGGACATGAGGCTATCGATCAGCTGTTTGTACGATTCGGTGCATCCATTAGTGTTGCAGAAGCATTTTCAACAACAGTGAGAAAGAAGAAGAAAACAAGACAAAACAAATGCTCTCTGCAGCCTCTAATGGTTATTAACACTGGAACGTTTTCTGAAGTGCTTAAATTCATGATGCCTATGGATTTTTCTAACCACCTCACTATAGTTTTGTTCCATTCAGGCTAAATTTCTAAGACTTGCCGCTTCTGTATAACAATTGCAAAAATACACAGCCTTATTGCTCTGTCCTTTTCCAGGTTACTCATCGGCAGTACAGAAATTCTCCCAGACTTTGCAGTCCTTTCAGTTCGACTTTATTGGTGACACACTAACGGATGATGAGATTAATATTGGTAAGTTTTCTTCTTTTTGATGCAAACTTTCAGTAACTGAGAAAGTCTCTCCTCCAGGAATTTGCCTGCTCTGATGGTTTTTAAACAGCATCAGGAGCCGGGTTCCTCAGATACCAGTCAGCTATTCCATAGCGTATTTTACAAAGTTGAACTTTCACGGGTAGAGTTTCACATTCCTAATTCAGCAGATAATTTGCAGAGGTTTTCCACGGCTCCAGCCCTGCTCTGTGCTGCCAGGCGCTGGGGAGGATGGCGGCACGGCGCTGGCCTCCCAGCAAGTCTCGCTTCCCAGTGCCGCAGGTAGACTGGGAACAGTGTGGCCCGGAGCGTTGGTGTATCTCCCTATCCAGGCGGGTGCTGCTCCTAAAGTTGCCTTTGCTTGGCAGAGAACACATTACAAAAACAAAGCTGTCCTGCGCTGCCCTGAAAAAGGGACCAGGCTGCAAACTGCCAGGAAAAATGAATTGCTGGATGTGTCATTGTATGGCAAATAATCGCCAGTCTCTGCCTTCACGGAAGGGAAGCCTGTGGCACGTATGTTGTATTACTCCCCGCACATCTGTTTCAGGATTAGCAGTCCTGAAGCCATGTTACGTCCCTGCCAGCCTGGTGCAACTGTGTGGGTTACACAGCTGCCAGCTGCACCCAGGGAGCGAAAATAAATGGCCTAAATGCCCTAAACCCAGCACTTTCCAAATTAATCCTGCTCTTGGCTTAGCTGGTGCTGTTGAATGGCCGGTGCGGGGCCCTGGGTGCTGCGGTGGTGGCAGTGGGTGGGAGGGACGGCAGGAGATCCTCCAGCCCCCAAGGGTCTGACCCTGGCCCATGGGACAAAACCCTGGGGGTGCCTGCCTGGGCTGAGGGGATGGGGCTGCCCATGGCGGGGGGCACAGGGCATTAGCCAGGCTGCTCCTGGGGGCTGAACATAGGAAAAAAGAACAACAACAAAAAAAAAGCGCTTTTGTCAGGCTGTTGTTGGGGAGCGGCTGCAAATGTGACATTGCTGATGTCAGGTCTCTCAGCCATCGCTGAAAGGGGAAGGAAGTAAAGCCTGTTCTTTTGGTTGTGTTATTTAAAGCAATTTAAAGCAGACTGCAGCTTGCCCTTCAAAATCTGATTTCCTTTATGGAAAGTCTGTAGGTGAAACTCATTGGAAATGAGTCAGCCTCCAAATCCTAATGGCAATAGAGGTGCTGAATTTCCAGACACATCTGAATAAGGCAGGGGAAAACATTGCCTTATAAATGGCCCTCCTGGGAGCAGAGGGATCTGAAGCAAACAGCCTGCCAAGGAAAGGAGTGTCTCTCCTCTCGGCTGGAAGGGACAAAGCTCCAATGTCCCATGCCCCTGCGCTGCCTCTCCGCCGGCCCCTGTGCACTGGTCGTGGGAGGGGAGCGGAGCCCGCCAGCGGTGAGCCGGTGCGGCGGGGCCGTGGCGCTCGGCAGGCAAAGACGACTGCTGGAAATGGCAGAGGTTGAATGGGGGGATCACGGGCGGAGAAGAACAAGAAGAGATCACAGCAAATGTAAAACACTGTGGCGAAACGAGTGCATTTCCCTACTTCTGTTTTTGTTGGGGCATATTTGATTTGCTTTTTCAAGAAGAGGTCCCTGGTTTCCCTGTATGAAAAAGCCTGTGCTGTGTTCCTCCTTCTGCACCAAACCCTGCAGTGCCTGCTGGGGCTGAGCCGCTTTGCAAGGCTCCCTTATTCCTGAAACAGCAGCAGAGCGCTGACATCTCCGTAGCAGCTTCCATCTCCTGCAAGGGTGCCAGAGATCTGCGTGGGAGCGTAGGAGCTCATTTGATGTGCAGGATATGGGAATGAAGCAAAACATTCACAAGCACTTCTTATCGTACTTCAGGGAATGTGTTTGATCTGTAAATGCAGCTCATGGCGTGCTTTTTTCTTTTTATGTAGGCAGAGAGCAGGCTGACACCCCTGCACGTCAGGTGGTGGCTTTGAACACTGCAAGTGTGAGTCAGGGCACAGACGCTGGGTTGATGACCCGGTTACCTGGGACACAGAGAAGGCGGAGGTACTCAATGACTTTTTTGCCTCAGTCTTCACCGGCAAGTACTCAAGCCACACCGCCCAACCCACAGAAGGCAAAGGTGGGGACTGGGAGAATGAAGAGCCGCCCACTGTGGGAGAACATCAGGTTCAAGACCATCTAAGGAACGTGAAGGTGCACAAGTCCATGGGACCTGATGAGATAAAGTTCCTGAGGGAACTGGCGGGGGGGGGTGGCACACCACCATCCGCACTGTTTGTCGTAAATGTGCAGAGGGACATGTCCCAGACATCATTGTCGGTGAAAAGCCTTTCTCTGTGCTCCCCTGACTCACTGCAGAGACCAGCAGCCAGTGTGCAGGTCTATAACAATGAAGTGCCAGTTTAGCCTGGAGATCAAAATCTCTCAATTTCTGGAGGTAAACAGAGAACAATGCCGGTCTTCACGTGTCACTGGGTGCCAGTGGACTTTCATCGTGGCAGAGAGCAAGTGGAGTCACAGTAAAGGGCATGACTTGAGGCATCAGGGTATGGACACTGTGGGGGCAGCAGGACACTAAGGGAGGCAGAGGTAGGGATTGACTGTTGGACAAAATTAGGTCTGACGGTGGATGAACATGAGGGCAGGGCCACCTCACTGGGGAAAAGGAGCAGCATGAGGGCTGAGAATGAGCCCAGAGCTGGAGCAGGCTTGTGGTGTAGGGTGCCCAGTGAGCTGCATGGAGTACAGATAGAGTAAATCATGATTATGTGAATCAAAGAGGACTGACTTGTCTTTATCCCCTGTGTTCTGATGTTAAATCTTCCATCTTACTTTCCCAGTATCCAGCAGACCTCTCGGAGAAGCAACGCTGACATCCCACCTGAGATGAGACAGCCCTGAACAGCGCTGCTGGGAACCATCTCCATTTGGCTGTGGTGTTGGCTGTGGTCACTTCTGCTCCTACAGGAGCTAATACTCCAGTGGTAACTTCTTCCCTTTGCTTTTCCAATAGACCAAGTGATGGTGATGATGGCTGAGAAGAATGGGGTCAATGGGGAAGACTCCATGTAGTTTCTTTTAGATATCTGCACCTAGTTGTTTCCACATGCCCTCATCACCCAAAGCTCCTTTAGCAGCCAGCAGAGGTCAAATAAGCAAACCCAGGGTAGCCCAGGGACCATTTCCATGTTTTAAGGTAGATATTTATAGCAGACATCTGGGTGGTACCCTATTACTGGCCATAGTACTTAATGGGATGGTCTCAAACTTAAAAATCTGTCTTAGCTGGTCCCAAGAAGTCAAGGCCTGTGGTTCTGCATGTCCCACAGTGCCTACCAGGAAGGGTGGCAAGTACCTCTGAGGACAGCAGTGGCAATGCCTTGAACCGTCAACTCCAGTTTTCACCTTTGGATGTGCCAGTCAAAAGCAACATAAGCCTATCAGAACTTAAAGGGGGCTTATAAAAAAGGGGGCTTATAAAAAAGATGGCGGCAAACTTTTTAGCAGGGACTGTTGCGACAGGACAAGGAGGAATGGCTTTAAACTAAAGGGGGGTAGATTTAGACTAGATATAAGGAAGACATTTTTTACGCTGAGGGCGGTGAAGCACTGGCACAGGCTGCCCAGAGAGGTGGTGGATGCCCCATCCCTGGAAACATTCCAGGTCAGGTTGGACGGGACTCTGAGCAACCTGATCTAGTCGAAGATGTCCCTGCCCATGGCAGGGAGGGTGGACTAGATGACCTTTAGAGGTCCCTTCCAACCCAAACTATTCTATGATTCTATGTTGTCTGTCGTGAGCAGCGCTTTCCCCCGGGGATGTTAATAGTTACAGACGCATCCGCATTACACAGCGGCTGCAGTCCCTCCGCCAGTCACCCACACGGGACCCGAATCAGCAGCTCCTTCAGAGGTGAATGGAGCAATGAAATCAGATGGCGTGTTCCTCCCTCCCAGGCACGGGAACCTGAAATCCTCTGTTCTCAAGCAGCTGACGTTCCTGGCATGCTTCTGGCAGAGGCCAGCTGAGTCACTCCCAGGCAGTTCCCAGGTGTGGCTTGGCAGGCAGCGGTTGCAGGCAGCCTCCCTGCTCTGCTCTGCAAGGGTTTGCAAGCGTTGACCCAGGCCAGTGGTGCAGGTTCACCCCAGTGCTCCTGGACACTGCTGGTCTGGCAGCAGGGTGTAGCCTGAGCCGCGTGTTTGTGGTGCGAGGACAAATTCAGTGAGTTGCTCTGTGGCTGCAGCCAGGAAATGTGTGCCTGGACTCTTCCTGTAGAGCAAGAAAAAAGAAAAACATGTAGTGAAAATTTTAGGCACTGAGATTTTCCCTTTAAGTTCAGGGCTGGATTCTCTTTCGCCCTGTGATAATTCCTTTCCTGGCTCGGGCTCCTGGTGTCTGTGCACACTTCAGGTTTCACATTGCCCTGAGTAACCACAGTGAAAGTCAGCATGTGGGCCCTGTGGTCGAGCGTAATAAACTATTAGGAGATTGCATGTGCCAGGCTCTGAAGCCCTCGCTCTGGAAGAGAACTCAGAAGTTACTGACTCATCAAGAAGGTTATGTTTTGATGATGCCAGCTGAGGGGACTGTGTCACGAGGCTGTGGTTTTTCCCTTTTGTGTCTGTCTCAGCAACTGCAAAGTGAATCCTCTAACACTGGAAGCTCATGCATTACCGCTGGTTTTTAGCAGAAGGACAGGTACTTCTCCTAAGGTACTGCCTGTGGATGTGGGGATGAGCTATTGCTGTACATGCCTCGCTATATGCCTGACTTGTTCCCTCGTGTGTTACCCCTGCCAAGCCAGGCGTGCTGGAGCTGTGGATGCCGCCCTACTCAAGAGCTCTGGTGTCAGCCAGGCGCTTCTGAGGTTCTTTGGTTCATTCTCAGACGGTCTTCAAATCACTCAGCAGTGGTCAAGTGCCTCTGCATGCTTTGCAGTGAGTGCAGGGTCTGACCTACAAGCACAAGAACTACTGTAGGATTTGCAAAGCCATTCTGTGCTTTACACATGGCCGTGCAAGGGTGAGCGCGAGGCCCGCAGGACCTGTCCCCAGCGCTGCTCCGAGCGGGGCAGCTGTGAGCCAAGCAGGGTGCTGCTCCCACAGCTGGAAGGTGATGAGCGGCACCGTGGGAGCCTTTCCGAGCTAACTCCCAGGTAGTTCCCAGGTACACTGCGGCAATCAGATTATTCCCCGCAGGCGTTCAGCACGCAGCCACGCTACGTGCATAGGCAGATGTTTGCCCAGCCTTGTCTTACAGCCTCCCGGAGAACCAAGACTTGCAGTGCTCCTCATTTCAGTGCTGTTAGCGCTTTTCTGGTTTCTCCCCTGCTACAAATTCATCCCATTCCCATGTTCTCCTTTGGTGGGCATAGAGAAGGGCTGAGTGTTCCCTCTTGGTGATAACCCTGTTGGTGTGGGGAGTGTCAGCTGCTCCTACCTAGTCTCTTTTTTCCCCAGGCTAAATAAAACTTGTTTCACTTTGTTAAAGGAAAGGTTTCATATTATTTTTGTTGTAGTTGGACTCCAAGAAAAGTGCTGATCAATGAGATCTTTTGGTTTAATTTTTAACATTTTGGGGAGTGGTGTCAATGTCTGTGACCGTTTCTACACCTTCTGCCTTTCCTTTGTAGGTACATGGACTTTGTGCTTCTTGTCACTGAACGTAATCTTTGTCATTCCAGGCTGTTTTCATTTTACAGACTCCTCTTGGTTCTAGAAAGCACCTGCAGCTCTTCCCAGCTCGGGCAGAGGTGCTGGGCCCATTATGGTGCTGCCGGTGGCCGTCCAGGCAGGACAGGCAGGCCCCTGCTGTGGCAGGACCCGCCCCCTGGTGCTGGCAGCTGCCCCTTCCCCTCATTTGCCCCTTCCCTGCCGCCTGCCTTACTGGCTTTGCAGTGCGGTTCCTAATGAAAGCTAATTAACGTTGTCTGCCCTTCCCAGGATGTTATCTCCCACATCGCTCCGGGCAGGAGGCCCTCCTCTCCAGTGCGTTAATAAATACCCCTCATGGCCAGCCTTTACTGATGGCCTTGCCTAACTCAGTTTCTGCCAAAGGAACCACCTCTTCTCCAGTCTTTGGCAAGCCTTTAGACGGTGATGCTGGGAGTGCAGCCAGATTCAGGTACCCCGGTGTGTGTCCCATGCTCCGGTGCCACATCCCAGCTCTGCTGACCAGCCTCTTCTTTTCTTTACAGCCGAATCCTTTAAGGAGTTCGCAGAGCTGCTCCACGAGGTAGAGCTGGAGAGGTCCATGATGGTAAGATGATCTGAACTATGCTCTGGTAATTACTGCCTCGTCGCAATGTTTAAATGCTAAATCACGGCCAAACGGCATCATGTACCTTGGTGTGAAGCTTCCCATCGGAGGGAAGCTGGGAGCACCGGGAGCGTTGTGCTTTGTACCACATCTGGTCCACGGTGCCATCGCCATGGGCCCTGAGCAGCAAAGGGGAGGTGCTGGGCGGGGAGAGGGAGAGGTTGTCCCACACAGTGTCCGAAACCTCTCCTGCCTGCCAGGTAGTCATGGAGCCCCAGGACCGTGCCACCTACAGTAGGTTTGCTCTGCAGAGCCAGGTGTGTCTGAGCCGGTAACAAGCTGGTTTTGTGGTGAAACAAAGTGTTAAAGAATAAGAAGCAAGATGTATTTTTAGCTTCGTTTTTGCTGGGTGCGAGCACACGGGTCCCCCTGTGCCCCTGCCCTTGCCGGCACAGCTCCCGCAGGGCGATGTGCTGCCTTCGGTCTCCCGCTGCGTTGTGCCCTCTGCGTCTCCAGAGCTCCTCCAGAGAGCGTTGGCTTCTCGTTTCACTCCTAACTCCAGGAAAAACATGAAGGTTAGGCTTGGTAGAGAGCTTTTACAGCATGCCAGGAATGTGCTTCTTGGCTCTGCTTTCCTCTGCCTCGTGCAGCAGTGAGAGCTCGTGCCAGGCTGCTGGCTGGGCCAGCGCCGCAGGGGTGGCTGTGCCGGCGGGACGCCACCGTCCGCTCTGCGGGTCCACAGGCAGGCAGGGAACGGGAGGAAACTAGTAAGCGGCTGGAGGAAAGCAGTAAGATATTTCTTTATTAACTACATCCCAGATGCAATGGCTCCTTTAGCAGTGGGTAAGTGGGTGGAAGGGATCATTTCAGGGATCATGGATGCTTTTAGGGATGCTGTCCAACTTTTCTAAATCTTTTTTTTTTTGCCCTCCACTTGTAGGACCAGTCCTTGACAGTAGCTCACTCAGAAGGTTTCACATTCTCACCGCGTTGATCAGCTTTATATTACCTGAAAGGGCTGTGGCAGTGTAGGGTCGTATCCCCTTCTCTTCCCTTCTCCCTTCTCTGGAGCTTGGGAGACAGCCTGTCGCAGTAGAAGTGGGGACGGGAAGAGATAGCAGGTCGTGTCCCAGTGCCAGGGTGGAGCTGGAGCCAGTGATACAAACTGGGGTGAGTTTGCCTGTGGATTCATGGAGAGGGAGTGCAGAGCATGTCCCAGGAAAGTGTCTTTCAGACATCTGACAGGACTGGAGGCGGCACAGGCAGGCTTTCCTTTTTCCCTAGCTGTTATTGTTATTCTCTCGCTGTGACAGATAACCTGCTGTCATTCCTTTTCTGGCTGGATCTCAGGAGAAGGAAAGTCATTTATCTGAGAGCTGTGTTATTAGAGCCATCAAGCCCAGTGCTGTCTGTGGTGAGAAATGCCAGACCATGACAAAGCCACGGCAGGGAGCCGGCCCCAGCTCTGCCTTCTGCTCATGAGAGCTTGGGGCCTTCATCATGCCTTCTCTGAGAAGCAGGTCCTGCCCATCGCGGCCTTGCTGAGCTCTTACAGGTCGTTTAGCATTGGAAAACAGCTCGTTTCAGGACTGCAGCAGCCGCTTTCTGGCAGTGCACTCACCAGCACGAGCATCTGCTGTGTTCACTGGGAGATGCTAGCGACTCGACATGTCCCTGCCTCTGGGATCTTACCCGTCACGGCTTTGCATTAAAGACAAGGGTGGATGCTGTTGTGGAAAGCAGGGCTAGTGCAGTGGTGTGCCTGGGTGGCAGGAGGGAGTGCGGCCGGGTTGTCCGGAGCGGAGGAGCCGGCAGCAGTGGCAGAGGGGAAGCAGCTGCAGCAGCACGTCTTCTCTGCTCCCTTCCCTCCCATTAGAGCAGGCAGGGCAGCTCGCTGCAGGCAGGGCCCCAGCTGAGCTGACAAGTAAGTAGCAGTCTCCAGTGTGCTTTGAGAATATATTTGGTTCTGGTTTGTGCTTCTCGGAGAGATAAGCAAACAGCCTTGCCTCCTGGGGCTGCTCCTAGTGAGGGCTCACCCAGCAGCCAGCATACTGTGAACATCAGTTCTCTCAGCCCTTCCCATGTCCGATAGGGACAGCGGTTCTGTTAAAACGGGATGGGCGGCAGGTGCATATTATTTTTGTTGTAGTTGGACTCCAAGAAAAGTGCTGATCAATGAGATCTTTTGGTTTAATTGTCCTACCTGAGCGCAGCTGGTGGCACAGGGCTGGTGGCAGGTTGGGGGGAACCCGTTTGTCATTTACAGAATGCCCTCGAAGCCTCATGCGCCATGATTGGGGTTTTCTGTGTATTACAGATGGGGAAGTGTGGATACGGATGGGTTAAGTGACTTCACCTACGGACAGAGAACAAGTTTGCAAGTCAGAGACATTAAAATCTAAGAGTTCTTGGCTTCTAGCCCTGTTCAGTCTCTATTTAGGAGAAAATTAATGTGTCCTGTAATTAAACTGTTTCTTTCTTTGCGCTGTAGGTACAGAACGCTAGTGATTTGCTGATCAAACCTTTGGAAAACTTTAGGAAGGAGCAAATAGGGTTCACCAAGGTAAGGCTTGATTGTTTGTTTGTTTTAAATTTAAAAAGATTTGTTTTCTATTACTATGTTTGAATTCAATTTTTTCTCCTGTTTTTTTTTTGTTGTTGTTTTTAAAAAGTAGACAATTGTACTACGTTTGACTTCATGCTTTCGGAAACTTCCTCGTTTAATGCTGGCTTTCAGCTGCTGGCGAGAGAGAGTCCATGCTGTGACTTTTAGTCTGATTTTTCAATCAAAAGAGGCTCCAAAACCTTTTTCTGAATTCTTTGGGTTCTCTTCTGGCCTAATTCCAGCACTGTCTCCGTCCTGAGCAAGGAGAGCTTGTTTCGACTGGTCATCAGGAGATACTCCTTGTTTCTTTCTCTCTTCTCCCCTTTGTTCATTCAGTGCTATTGAGAATAAAATACTTTCTTCGGGTAAGCATGTGTTAGAGCAGGAGGGAGAGAGAGCAGCTTAGTCCGGCAGTCAGAACTTGATTATAGTCATAGGGCTTTTGTTATGAAATATTTAAATAAAGCATCTAATGAGTCTTTCAGATGGACCAAACTTTTTAAGAAACAAACTATAAAAAGTAAATCCTGCACATGTTGAGCAGAAAAGATTATTTTTCCCTTGCCTGCTATCAAGAAGTCCAGGTTCCACGTTACTCGGCGGCAGCTTGAAATGGGGCTGGCTCTGAACCAGCTCAGAAATGGAGATGTTTTGGAGAACACTTGGGGCTTGGATTCAACCCAGCCCATCTGGAGTCTTTGACGTTTAATAAATACAGGATTTGAGAAACGATACTTGATCACCATCCTGCCCTTCAGAATCCCCCTGTACAACTGTGTTTGTAGAACGCCTCTCTGAGGAGCCGCAGAAGCGTGAGCATGGCGAAGGCGGCGGCCGCAGCCATCGGTCTCCTGCTGGCAAAGCTGCCTGCGCTTCCCCGCCAGGCGCAGGGGGAAAGCCTCCTCGCCGGCGGGTTTTGCAGCAGGCCTCTGTGATACAAGCATGTGGACATGCCCAGGGCTGAGAGAAAACTCCCTCCTGATTGATCTGTCTGCATTAACAGTATGGCCAGCATATATTTAGAAAAGAGTCATGGGGAAGGAGTCATGGGGACAAGGTCAAGCTTATTTTCCCCGCTGTGTTTATGGAACACTTAAGTCAAGAGGACAATGGTCTGCAAATGTTAAGATGACGGTATTAAAGTGTCCTTCAGGCTGTTTTCTTCTCGGGTAGCCCTTAAGGTGTGTAAGGATTACTTTGTCTACAGCCCGGAGCACTCTCTGCTCCGAGAGCCGTGTCGCCTCCCGCCCGCAGGTTGCGTACCCTGCCTCCTGCTCCAGAGCTGGCTGGTGCCCGGCTGGCAGGCATGTGTCTCAGCACAGTTGGTGCCATAGACCCAGCAGCAGGGGGTTCCGAGTGCTGCCACGGGTTCACCTGGCAGCTTACAGCTCTTTCTTGGTCCCTGCTGATGGGGCAGGGTGGAGGTGTCGGGCAGTGACCGTGGCAGGACGCTGTTCAGAAGCAGTTAAGAGAGGTGGCGGAGGGAGGGTAGGTATTCATTGCAGGTGGCTTGGAGGTCTTTGTGGTTGGCTTTGGTTTTTGTTTCTTGTGAGGAACACGAACTGCAAAGGTGTCGGGGGCACCTTGGTGAGAAGAGGGCTCTGCTGCGGCTCAGCAGAAGTGCTCGCATGCAGGAACTTGCAGGGGAGCACTTTGCACCCCACTGCGTTTGCAGGTGCGCCCATGCTGACAGGGGATGCACAGGGAGGCAGCGCTTTCTCCGACGACGCCCCGCAGCCTTGAGTGGGTGTGAGTTTCAGAGCACGCCCCAGCCCACTCCAGACCCTTGCCCTCACCTCCGATGCTTTCCTGACAGGAGCCCGTGCTACACCGCTGGCCTGGGTCCCGCTGGCCTGGGTCCCGCTGGGTATTGCCTCGGGCACAAAGCCTTCCTTCACTTGCCAGCCTGCAGAGCTCCTCCGGGTCATTCGCATCCCTCAGCAGAAGGCGTGAAATACAAATGAGGACTCCTCACAATGGTGCTCTGTCAGCGAGGGGTCCCTCTCCATTTCTGCTGTGCCTCCACTGACTGGCATCACCCGAGTAGATCCTTCCTGATTTACACCAGGGAGAGAGAGGCTGGGGCCAGGCTGTGGAGCAGACCGGAGACATGACACAGAGAATTTGTGCCCTCTGCTTCGTTTCCCATATTTTGGCAGAGTCGCCTTCTGTGAGATGTTTTCTGTTCTCTTTGCAAGATGCCGAAGCCAGATAGGAAGAGCCTTTGAATTGGGTCTTTGTGATGACTCTGGCTGGAGAGCAGCCAGTCAGTCTGACTAAGACATCTGAGTCTGCATTAACCCGTTTTCCCGGGGATGAATGGAGTCTCCTCAGTCAGATGGTGTGCTCCCACACAGGGGAGCCCCCGGGGTGTCACTAGGACCTGCCGCAGCCGCCCCCCTCCAGCCATCTTCCCCTGCTAGCCGCAGACCCGTGGTATCGTTGCTCTTCCCGTGACTTGCTGGTAAACGTTTGTTTGTGTAGACATCAAGAATAAAAGCGGAGGATCCGGGATCCCCTGAGCTGACCCATTTCTCAGTCCTGGCCCTGGCACTTTACTCTGCTTAAAAGCTAAAGAGCTGGTGAGAGTTCATGGCTGGGGGTGCAGCACTGATTTGGTGAGCGTGTAAAGGAACCAGCATAATCGAGACTGCTGCGAGTGCTAGGAAGGCCATGGGTGGTATCAGGGAGGCACAGGCATTGCTTAAGGGAGAGAGCGTGTGGCGTGGTCTGTTTTTTCATTTCACGTTAGATCATATTCATGGAGGCTAGACTGTATGTTCGGTCCACGCAGGCTATGAACTCGGTGGATTTTGTGCCATGTGCCATCCCTGTTTGGCAGAAGCCGTCTGAGTCCCAGGCATGCCTGACCGGGAGGTTTGGAAAGGAGCAGAGTAGTATGTGGGGTGATGGAGTTCTTGATTAAGAGCGGGAGGAGGGGTAATTAGAGGGATGTGCTCACCGCAAATGGGAATGCGAAGCAGGATGGTAGGACTGGTTGTGACCTGAAGCCCCAAATGAACATGGTGTTACTTAGCGCATGTTCCTCTTGATCTACAGAGCTGTGCGGCAGAGCGATGCGTGTGTTTTGCAGCAGATGCAACGCTGCAGCAACCCGAGGAAAGCCCCTCCTCACCCTCTCGCAGGACAGACCCCCTTGGCACGGCGGCGGGGCTGGGGCTGAGCTGGGAGCGCTGCCGCAGGGGCCTCGCACAGGGACGGTGGCTGTCCCTCCCTCCCTGCCGGCAGCCTCCCAGCAAAGCCCTTGGCTTTCAGCTCACACGCTGTGGGTGAGCTCTGTTCTGGGGTTGGGGTGCTTTCGTTAAGAGCCTTGCTGCAGTCATTAAGTTTAGGAGGATTTGAATAGAAAAAGTTTCATTCCAATTCCACTTGGAAGGAGACAGCTTTTTTTTAAAAAAAAAAACAAAACAAAACAAAAATGAAAACACAAAGCAAAACAAAAAAGTCAGAGGGGAAAAACTTGTTTGGACTCATTGTAAGCTGCGGGAGGAATGTTTACTACGCTCTGGGATGCTGAATAAATGCAGTGTTTTTCAAAAAGTTCTTACATAGGAGATAACATGTATTGCTAAAAGCACTTTGTTAATTCTGTTATTAATATTTCATTAATAATAATTTTAAAAGAAAGGGAGGACAGTAAATTCTACTTGATTTCATCTCTGTGGGAGAAAGATCTAAGGAGCATTTGAGAGAACGCAGTGGGTGTGGGAAAAAGGCCAGGTTAAATTGAATGTGGTTTTATAGAAATCCTCTTTCTACACCCTCAATGGCATTTTTCTTTTTAGAAATTATCTTTTTTTGTGTTAACTGCTGATGCATCATAAAAATTAGTTAAGCTCAGGCATAAAGTATTTTTTTCCGTATGAACATATTTCTCTTTTTCCCATTTCTTCCCTCCACCGTTTGCCAGATGAGGCTGCAAGCCAAAGCAGAACCTGCCGCCCATCTCGCGCCTTCAGCTCCTCTGCAGCAGCAGCTTGCGATTTCCCCAAACTGATTAGGGGTTTGAATTTATTCAGTACTGTCTTCTTTATCGAGTGGTGGTGAATACATCACTGTTTGCATTCATTACT